ATATTAAAATAATCATTTTTGGAAGAAATAAATACATAAAATAAAATCCATCATGTAAATTAATTTTGTTACATAAACTATAAAAAAATGTAAAATTTGTTTTGCATATACAAATATAATTTTTCGCAGCAATAAATACATAAAATAAAATCCATCATTTAAATTATCTTTGTTCCATAAATATACTTTGCATAATCCAACATGAACCAAAAATGTTTTTTAATAAATGGAATATAAGCCAAAGATAAGTCTTAAGACAGAAGTGAAATATATTATAATTATTAATAATAGATCCATAAAATTACTAAATAATATAATATATCAAATATAATTTTTTTATAAAGTGAGTAATTTTAATTTATTTATCTTAATAAAAGTAAAATATAATTATAAAATTATTGATAAAATTAAATCATAAATTAAAAAAATATTAAAGCACAATACAAATAGTGGAATATTATATGTCGTAGATTTACAGTATATCTAATTATCAAATGACAATCAAGTAATTTTTACCAATATAGCGAATTATATATTTTACAGAAAACTATAAAATATTGATAAGGACATCAGAAAATATCTTTTAAAGACATTGTGGGATGAATAGAATAATATGAAGATTAAATTTAAATATCATTTTTACATAAAATAAATAGACGGCGTTAAATAATTAAATGCAAATTGTTGCTATATTTAATATCAAGATCATTGATTAGTAAAATTTGTTAAATTATTAACTGTAATATATTCTCTAACTGTCAAATATGTCTGTAAAAGTAGAATTTTACCTAGTATTTTATAACTTCTATATAATAGAGTAAAATCAACTATATGTCTACTTACTTTTTATAAATATATTCCTTATAAATGTTTGGAATAAATTATTACCATGCTTTTATATTAAGGTATATACGATACAAGTAATTTATTATATTTTTATTTTATATAAACTAATAAAAATATATTTCATATTTGTTCCAGGCTTATTTTTTTTATTAAAATTTGTAAAAATATTTTATGACTATATATAAACTAAAGTAACCCGGCCGAAGGCCGGGGAAAAGCGGACCGAAGGCCCGCATAAAAGGGGGTATGGGAGCGAAGCCCCCAGAAAAATTTTAATTCCCCCCCCCCCCTTATGAAAATCCTGGCTAAGCTTTGTCACTAAAAAAGCTATATAGTTGTTCTAAATTCATCTATTGGAAATATTTTTATAAAGCAAGTTAACATAAATTACCAATGTCATTATACTTTCTCTAAGATAAAGATCATTCATTATAAATAATATATATTTAGACATTATTAATTACCAAACTCAGTACATGGCTTACTTAATGCAGGACTTTTGGGAATAATTATATCATTCAATTATTTCACAAAATGTTTATTTCAAATAATATAAATACATACAAAATATATATTTAAAATAACAAAAATATATACAAAATATATATTTAAAATAACAAAAATATATACAAAATAATTTTAATCAATAATCTTTTATAATATCAAGTATTTTATTTGTTATTTCTTTTTTTCCTCTTTGGTATAATCATCTAATTTTTCTTTTAACATTAAACATATTGCATGTTCTGTTGATTTATTTTTAAGCATTTCCAAGGTTATTAATGCTTTATCTGCTTCTATTTTCATTAATTTCCTATAGTAATCTATTTAAAATTTATCAATAAATCAAAAAATATAAATTGCCCATATCATTGTTCTTTCTCTTAGGACATTTATAATAATAACTAGGTGACCCAACACAGGACATAGATTCTATATAAAAGATAATATAAATTTTTAGATATTATTAATTACCAGAATCATTACTAAGATTTAGTGCTGCAGAATCTTTGGGAATAAATATATCATCTGATATATTCTCACTATCAATGAGATCACCTAAATAATAAATATATTTTATCAATTAAAATGCTATATTTTACATTCATATATACCTCCTGTTATTTCATTAAATATATCATTTGCATCTTTAGTAATATATTCCTCTATATCTAAAGAGGATTTCTGTGATCTAGATGTTAAGGTTTCTACCAGAAATAGCATATCCTGATAGAATGGCCATGAGATGAGATGGCCACCCTCTTTTCAGTCTTTTTAGCTTTTGCCACTCTTTTATAAAACAATCTCTCAGATTTTTCCAGAGAGATGAACCTAAATGAATTTATAAATATAATATGTATGCAAAATTATTACCAGGCATATTATACTGCTTGGCTAATAATTCTCAGATTTTATTCTTGTATATAATACTTTTATACAAATGATTATGCTTATTATATAAACATTCGTACTCTTTAAGAGAAAGAATAAAAGCTATTTTATCTATTTTCTAAAAAAAATTAAATTTAAATCATAATTTTAACTTGATCCTTTGGTTTTATATCATCAAAAAAGGTTGTCTTTGAATTCATTTCAATTAATAAAAAAACTATAAATTTAAAAGTAGCGCAAAATCAAAAATTTTGAGCTATATTCACCAAAATCTGTATTTAATGAAGCAATATTTCAAAATCTCGCTATAAACACAAAATGATTTGTGTTTTGAAAAAATCGCGGCGATTTACTTTCGCGTATCAAATCGCGCGATCGGTAACTATGAATGCGATATCATATTTACTGTATTTTGAATTTATCGCGTCTAAATCGCAAGCGCAATCGCGCCACTATGAATTCAGGGTTATTCGAACAAAAATGTAAACAGAGGAACAAAATAAAACTTCACATCATTTTATAATTTACAAAAAATACAAAATATTTTTTTTCTTTTAAGATATTTTTCTGGCATTTTGTTACACCCTTTTTGATTATTTATTGATATTTTTTAACAAATAAATAAAATATATCTAATACCCTCTTGACTGTTAATTTCTAAATTAATGTTTTCTAGTTTTCTAAATTAACTATATCTTACCAATTTTATTTTTTATGATAATTTTATTTTATACATCCGTATAAAAAGGTATATAAATTTGATGTTAGAAAAAAACTATGAGAAGCAAAATATAATTTTTTCCGATTAAAAGTGAAGTTAAGAATATATAACGTAAGGAAAATCTATCAAGTCATATGTATTTTACTGATTACATAATATTTAGTTTAAAATACAATATCTAAAATGAAATTTTTTTAAACTAAATAATTAATAGCTATTTTATATTTAGAAGATATAGTTTTTATTTTCTTACCTTTTTCTCCTTCACACCTATAACTAAAATAACTCTAATTTTATTAAATTTATATGACTCTAAAATAACTCTCTAATAATATTTAATTATATATATATATTTAATTCCTCCGATTATATAATATATTCTTGCTATTTATTCTACTTTATTTCATAATTTTTACAATAGTTTATATATCTTATAATTTTTTTATATAATATTCTCATAATTATATTAATTCCAACAATCTTGTCATAATTTTCATAATGAATACAAAAACATTCGTTTTTTTATTACAAAACCTTCCGCGCCGATTATCATATATAAAAATCAATATCAACAAAAATCAATATTATTACTAACTAAATATATATTTATAATTGATTGATTGACATTTATAATTTAATACTAAAAATATTGATAAATATATATATAATATACCAATATATATATATATAAAATATCCACTACAAATATATAAGAAATATATAACAATAACTATACCTCACTCTAGAACTACAAATTGGATAGGGCGTAATTCCCCTCATTTTGATAAATATACATCTGTACAAGTGTTGGTATCCTTGAGAAAAAAAAATTAGCAAAATTATAGGGAGGGTGGGCCTCCTTATAATTCACATTCGCTTACTTTCGGCAGATCTATGACCAATGTGATAGATAAGATAAGAAGATATAAAAAGTTATAATGTACTTATAAATAAATTTAAAAAAACATCTTTCTAATATCAAAAACAATGAACCCGGATTAAAACAAACTAGTTTAATTTTCTATATATTTAACAAATTGACCCAGCAAGCCAACCAAGCAAGCCAACCCAGCAGGCTGACCCAGTATGCCAACCCGGGTCGGCTCAACAAGCCCAACGGGTCGGGCTGGGTCGTGGTCGAAAAAAAACCAACCATTTAACAACACTACTAGCGACGCCCCTGGTAACATGGACTTATAAGCGTAATAACCGAACTAAATTTTAGTGTATGCGTAGTTAAGGATTATCTTAATCCAATTTTCAAAAATCATCTGGTAGTACCTTTAATGCATTGCCTAGCTAGGGAAAGAAACTTACCTATGAGATATATATGGTAATTAAAAATAAACTATCTGAAGATAATAATTAAAATATTTGGAGTCTTAAGCCGACACATAGTATGGAATGAGGAAAGTGGGAGAAAAATTAAAGAGGTAAGGTGCTATAAGTTACCTCATCAAAATTAATCAGTCGGGCATATTAAAAAAAAAATTTTTTGATGAAATTATTGCGTAATAATCTTTTCCCATTTTAAATTTATAGATATCAGTTAAAGATAGTGAAGAATATTTTTTCTAATTTTATATTTATAGATATCAGTTAAAGATAGTGAAGTGTAAATTCTTGCTTAGTCATGATGTCTTTTTATTATTAAATAATAATATAAAAAAACTTATGCAAATAAATTGTTTAGCTATAAATTAATTTTTAAAAAATATTTAGATTATATTATAATATACTTTTATGCACATTGATCCACAAAATTATTTTAGTAAATAATATTATTTAGAATTTTTTTTGAATAAATTATAAGTTTGTGTAAAAATATTTTTTTAAAATAATTGTTCGTTTTGAATGAGAATTTGTTCGAAAGAACGATCAAATTAGGGGATTGCATTTTTTATTATTTTTATATCTTGATTGAATTGAATGATAACAAAATATAAAAATGTTGTTTACGTATTTTGTGCTCTTATAATAAGAGTTTCTGTGCCAAAACAGGCAAATCCTGTATATGCAATTTGATGCCCAAAGTATTTATCAGCACTTATCATTTATCACTCATGTCGAGAGAAATAAAAAATTCTTCAAAAATTTTGTTGAAAGATATCAAACAACAAGGTTTTTAATTATATTATATAATATATCCCATAATATAAATTTATATAGAAAGACGTAAAAATCTGTACATTGATTTTTCATATGTTAGCAAAAATTTACCCTCTCTATCCCCATTTGGTAGTTCACTAAGGTAAATAAATGCTTGAATAAAAAATTTAATAATTTATATTAAGTTCGAAAAATAAAAATCCATATGCCACTGGGAAATTAACTCTTTCTCCAGAATTAGTTTATTAATTATTTGCTAATTTTTTATAATTATCTTTAATAGATATTTGAATTTAAAACTGAAGACCTTAAAGATTTAGGGGAAATAGGTAGAGGATCATATGGTGCTGTAAACAAGATGCTGCATTTAAAAAGTGGAACAAAGATGGCTGTTAAAGTAATTCATTATTTATTAAATTTAAAACATATTTGTAATATCTAATAATTATATAATATTATTTTCTGAATTAATTTATTATTAGAGGATTAGATCAACTATTAATGATAAAGAACAAAATCAAATACTAATGGATCTTGAAGTTGTAATGAAGAGCAATGAATGTCCTTATATAGTCAAATTTTATGGCGCACTTTTTAAAGAAGTATATAATTTGATAAAAAGAAATTCATATCCCTATAAAATTTAAGCCCTAAAAATTATCATCATAAAATTTATTTAAAAAAAAAGAATGCCACCACTATCACTAATTTTTTTTAAAAAATAGCACACTATTAGATATAGCTACAAAATATGTAGAATAACAATTCTGCTGGGCTTAATAATGAAAATACCCAGACCATGTCAAAATAAGTTTAAACAAAATGTAAGCCAGGCTTGAAAATATAATTTTTTTAATAAATTTGGTAACATTAAATAATATGTTATAATAATTATTTTAATAATGTAATATAAATAAGTACAATTATATAAGTTTATGCTACAGTTTATATATCTTATTTATCAAAATGAAACAATGCTAAGTATTTTTTTTAAAAAATCTTGACTTCACCTATTCTTTAAGGAAAGCATAAATAATATTAGTTGGCAAAAGTCTTGATTTAGGCATTTTTAAGATTGGCTAAATTAGGGTTTAAACAACACTAGTGCTAAGAATAAACAAGGCATTGTTTAGAATAAATTAGGGCTTTGCTGATCTACAAATTTTAACTGATCTTATCCAATATTTCCTGATTTTACTACAAACTAGGCCTATTCAAAAATGAATACAACTAATAGTACATAATTCATATTTGATTTATTTAAACAGATTAATTTACTATTTGTATGAATGAAGAAATTCACTATTATTTAATTCAAATTATTTTGAATAATTCATTTTTAAAAAATATTTATAAAATATTAAATATGAAAATATATTGACATAATTTTAAATATTTTTATTGCCACCTCACTAAGGACTTCAAAGGTAAGAAAAACCCATAAGTAAAAACAAAAGAGAGGTCTTAAAAAATCTTTATTTAATTTTTATATACTTACAAAACAAAAGAGGGGTATAAAAAGAACTATTTTTAAATGACTAAACAAAAGAGGGTTATAGCCAAAAATAAAATATGGAGCACCATATTTAACAATTTGCCATCTATTCTTTGAACAAATGTCATAAAAAAATTATTTTCTGCTATACTAGCTGTTTAACAATGCTAGCTGATTATATATTTCTAGATATCAGTAAATCCATTACTTTTTGCAGATAATATTTAATAACATTACAAATAAATTAAATGATGGTTCCTTTTATTAATTTATTATTATTATGAAATTAATTATATATAAAAAATAAATCAAAAACAATAAAAATATCATATCGGAGTATCTGCTTGATCCGATATTTTTTAAAGACTCAAAATACTGGCCCCGATCGATATTTAATATCAGTAAGGCCTTAGAATAAATAAATAAATCATTTTTTTTGGGCCGCATTTAATTTATACATATTAATTTATTTTAAAAACCAGGGGGATTGTTGGATATGCATGGAATTAATGGATACCTGCCTTGACAAATTTTATAAACATGTTTACAACTCCTTGAATTCTCATATACCTGAAGACATTATTGGCAAAATAACATTTGATGTAAATAATATAATACATCTTATTAACTAACCAATTGGTCTTGTAAACTCTGATATAAATCATATTTGTATTGGCAAAATTTTGCTGCAGTTGCCATTATTATCTCATCTAAATAAAAAGGAACTTAAATGAAAATAAGGTATCACATCTCTAATTTAGTACATAATTCTTGATTTCACTGGAAGATCTGTCATCTAATGCCCCAGGTGAATTATTTATATTTGCAATTCCTATATTTTATTTTTACTGAACTACACAAAGAATAAATTTAATTTATCATCTATTCCAGTTCCATTTTTTATACAATAATATGCAAAAAAAATTCAATATTGCACACTATTAATTTTCTCTCCTTTAGAACAGCCTCCCAATTTCTAATATGGCTCATGATTAGAATTTTAGGTTAATTATACAATTCAAGAAACAAAGGATTCTTGAAATTAAAAACATATTTTGTTGTCTTTTTATTTTATCATTATTCATGATAATATTTAATTTTACTTAATAAATTACGATTTTTTAATTAAGTTTTAGGTTATTTTTAATTAATTTAAGTGGTTGTTGCAAAAAAACATTTGATGCAAATTAAATATCATTGATTGTTAATTATTTTCATTATTTTGATTAACCATTTTATAAAATCAAATATTGAAAAATTAATACTGCTTTATATAGTAGTTAATATATTTAGTCGAATATTTTAAGATATAAATCAAATTAAAACGTGTTAGATCCAATCAAATTTGGGGTTAATTATTGAATATATTTATAATTTTTTTTTAAAAATAATCAAATATCAATTTTTAATTAAAAGTATTGTGTGTGACTTAGCCGAGGCGGCTTAACCACGATTCAAGTCGAGTTTTTAGTCAAAAAATCACTTGTTTTTACAACCAGAGTTATAAATAGTCGCGATTCGAGTTTTGAACTTGAGTCGTGAACTCAATTAATAGGTTAGCTTAAATTTTATGAAACTCGATTACTTTTATAAGTGTTATATATTGGTTGGTTGTGTAAAACCCAGATCCGGGGCTTGGGTCTAAAAATCGACTAAACTAGCTATGAGCACGAATCTCGAGCACAGACCAGGGGTTCATACCAATATATTTTAAGTTGTTTTTTCTTGAATTTATTAAGGTATATAAATATATGGTTATTAAAGGTATCAATCGATAGCTAATTATATCTATTGAGTAAGTACCAAACCAAGCACCACTTCTTGATGGGGGTATCAAATTAGTCTAGTTCTACCTTAATATGGTGTATATAAGTTTGACCGGAAGCGGGGGTAAAAAATAAATAAGGTTACTCATATTTGTTCTTGAAAATTTTTTTTTGAGCATTTCATGACTCTTAAAAGGTATGTATAGATCGAGTAATTCCATACCAAATAAATAACTTTTCGGCCCGACTCTTTAAATTTCGATAAATTTTGCATACTGAGAGAATATCATTAGAAAGCATTGAATCCAAAATTTTAGCCTACTAGTACTCTTAGTTCCTAAGATATCAATGGTCAAAAAGTGTCAAATGACTTTTTTTCGATACTATTTTTAAAAATTGAGATAAATTAAAAATGGTGATTTTAATAACATAAGTTATATGTCATTTTGTAACTCTATTAAAGGCCTTTTATTAAATATTAAGGATTTTTTAAAAATAATTTGCGGTTTTTATTTACGAAAAAATTTTAAACATGAAAACTCAAGGTGTTTCATTTTCCAAATTTTTTTGAATTTAATATTTTCTTATTCTCTAACCTTATATCGATTCATAAAAAATTTAAACTTGGGACAGCTATGGGTTTTTTAGTTATTGCGATTTAAAAAATAAAAAAATAATATATTTTATTCAAAAATAGATGGCTTTATAAAATAACGCTTTTTATTAAGATATTATTTTTTTAAACTTTTTCCCATTTTTATACATAAATAACTAGATTTTCTAGCATTAATATCATGAAATTAGGCTATTTAGCTGAGGTTATAATCATTTTTTTCTTGTAAAAATTTTAATTTTCTTAAAATTATTTAAAATTTTTTAAATATAATAGATTAATTAAAATTCATGAAAGATATCACCTATTTTCGGTTTTTCATTAAATTTAGTTTTTTTTGACACCATGATAATTTCCTTTTGGATAAATTATATGTACACCCAGTAGCCGTTGATGGGCTAACTATTGTAAATATTATTTTTTGGTATGAAAAGGATATCTTGTGCCGCTGAATAAACAAAAGAATTTGCTGGTCGAAAATTAATTTTTACTTCATCTCTAATTACATTCACTTTTTGTATCTTAACCACCAATCATTTTCATATACACAGGTTACATATCCTCTAATCTCATCGATTAATATATCCTCAATTAAAGGATCCTCACATGGATACACTATATTCTCCAATAAATGTGTATTAGAAAGTTTAGTGTTGAGTTTAGTTAAATCATACATGAATTTTTTTGCGTCCCAGATATTGAGATAGATTTACTAAATCTCTCACTTAGCATCTCTTCTCCTCCTACTCTGGTATGGTGGCCTAAAAAAATTTATACCTTTTATATGCTCTCCCGTATATTTATAAAATTGTACAGGTGTAATTATTTGATCAGTATAAGGTCCTTGTAAGCTTGCCTTGGCAACTAACCTTTTTACTATGCCGCCTTCGCAGACACTTTTACCATGTGCCGTAGGAAAAAAATGCCATTCTGCTTGAATACCAAAATCTATTTCATGGTAGCAAACATTGATGAAGTTTTTCCTATTTTTGAACCATCAGAAAATTAGTGAATTATTTCTGGTGGAGTCGAATTTATTTTTTTAAAAATGAATCAAATGCGATTTGAATAAATGGAATTGAATTAAGGATTCCGATATTACCACAAAAGGTTGTTTATTTGATCTCCTATTTTATAATAAATTGGGAATGGATGAAACGTAACCTGCGAAGTTGTCCAATGATAACCCTGAACTTCGTCTTGGACAATAAAGGATAATTTTCTGAAAAGTCACAAATAATTAGATAGTGATTAATTTCTAAATTTTTTTAAGGTTATTGTAAAATAAACTTTGTTGTTCACAGATAAATGAATTGCGTATGAGAATATTCATTTTATCGAAAAAATATTTAATAAATTCGTCTGAAGATTGAGAAATAGTCTCCAGATTTTTTCTATCAACCTAAACCCACTGTTTAAATGTAACAAGAGCTATATCATTTTTTATAAATAATTTTTCGATGCGTTCTTTTAAGAGTGCCGAGTCAGCACTCGTTGCAGTCATCAAAATTACAGGTGGGTAACGGGGGATTGCAAATCATTCTGCCTATAACATTTCTATAAGTTGTTTATATATTCTCACCATTTTTAGTCAATATTGCTCATTCACAGCCTAAAATCATAAGTTTAATATTCTGGTATATGCTACAAACGCACACTGTGTATTCCGCTAGCCCCTCCTAATACAATTTTTTGGTCTTAAGCTAGCAAATTTCGAAAATCCAATTGTTATTGAATTACTCTTCTTAAAATGATTTTTTTTTAAAATTATTTAGAACTAACCTTTTTTGAGCGTTCACTCATTCCCCCCTACTAACTTCATCACTTCAAAAATTTTTTTTATCACATCAACTGTTTTTTGATTGAGATATTTTTTAGGCTTTCGAATTGGAGTTGAAAATCCCCTTTTATTTTAAAATGATTTTGGAATTATGTGCCATGTGATGTATCGTTGAATTTCGTTTTTATTTTCCGCTTTAATTAGGAGGCAGAATAGTCAGCAATTGATATTTTTTATTTTTAGATAAATTAGGATATTGTCATATTATTGAGTATATCATTATTGTCTTTTGTATCCGATTCTGGATTGTTAATTATAATATCTGAAATAGCTTTTGATATTTTCGCTATCTTTTTTTTCTATATAATTTTTTTCAGTTAGCTTTTTCTTCCTAATAGGAGATATTCCAATTTCGTTTAAAGTTATTTTTTTTTCTCTTTAGCTTTCACCTTTTCTGGTGGTAATCTCCTTCAACATCTCTCTCCACTTTATGTTATTCATACAATCTCTTTTATCTAATTTATACTTCTTTATATTGACTCTTTCAATAATTAATTATAATATTTTCTAGTAGGAGATATCGGAATCGTAACTATTTTTTTAGGAAATTTAATCATTTATAAAAACAACTAATTTTTACAAGTTATCAATATAGTAATAATAATTAGTAAGCCTATCAAACGATCTAAATAAAATTTTTTCATGATTTTAATGCTGGAAAATCTTATTATTTATGTTTAAAAATGGAAAAAAAGTTTAAAAAAAATAAAAATCTTAGCAAAAACGCGTTATCTTATAAAGGAGCGCCATCTATTTTTGAAAAAAATTTATTCTTTGATTTTTTAAATCGCAATAACTAAAAAACTTATGGCTATTCCAAGTTTAAATTTTTTTTATGAATAGATATAAGGTTAGAGAATAAGAAAATATTAAATTCAAAAAAATTTGGAAAGTGAAACACCTGGAGTTTTCATATTTAAAATTTTTATTGTAAATAAAAATCGCAACAATATTAATTTAAAAAAAATCCTTAATATTTAATAAAAGGCCTTTAATAGAGTTACAAAATAACATATAACTTATATTTTTAAAATCATAATTTTTTATTTTATCTCTTTTAAAAAATCATATTTTTCTAGTGTTGTAAACGAACGCGTTCAAAATGAACGCGTTCTTGAACGAAGTTCGTTTTTTGAAAAAAGGTGATGAACGGCGTTCCTTTTTTTTTGGCGAACTTTGAACGTGAACGCGTTTCTTTTCTTTGATGAACGCGTTCAATTTTACGTTCGTTCAATTTTAAAAACACTTTTTATTTTTATTTATTTGAAGAATTAATATTAATCCGCATTTTTTAACAAAAAAGTCTTATATTTTTATTTATTTGAAAAATTTATATTTAATTCAATTTTTTAACAAAAAAGTCTTATATTTTTTAATCAGCTG